ACGTGAGCAAAATATAAACAAATGTTGAAGTGTAGTGATTGATGCATGTGCTACTTGTTCAAATTCGAGTCATTTTTGATTTCATCACGGACGGTAGTGGGGAACGGGCAGAACATACAATTGTTTAAACAAACTTTGTCGCACGATGCAGAAGACGCAACATACGCAGGGGCGATGCAGAAATGAGTTCATTCGAAGGAGTAAACAGAGGGAAACCGCAAAACGGTGCTGAAGAGAACATTTATGAATAAAAAGGAGTCAAGACACTTTGAACAGGGTGAAAAGATTGCCGGAAATGATGGGCTTCATCCAGCAATGTGAACCCGCGACCGGTGGAAGGGGGATGGAGTCCCACGATATGAAGAGTGAATTGTAAAGAGGAATGCCGTCAAGGAGGAACAAAATATCACAACGGAGAAGATGATGGAGGAGTTCTCCTGGACTAGGCCTGATTCATCCTAAAAAGATTAGTATATACTATTTTGTGGAGTCTCCAGGGGGCCTTTCTTCATCCGAACTGGACAATGTAGGTGAGAATGGCTGACAGCATCTCGGGTTCGCCCCTTATTGCAATAGGTTCCGTTGCGTGGTTGTTAGTCACTCGAAATGGACAAAGTGAGGTCTCGGCCTGGTATTATATATCACCGGTTGACAGCCATAAGTAATGCATATTATCTTGTAAATATGGTGCTGTTCCGGCGTAAGGGAGGTGTTGCCAAGTCAGAAGGATTGTCAACCATTGGACGAAGTGAACGGCGGAAAACGGCAAGCCAAAGCGGTCGAAAACGATTGGGGTTGGTTGCTAGTGCAGTAATAGCCGGTGTGCAGCCTGCAAATGCATAGGCTCGAACTGAGACTTCAATGGAGGACTCCAGTCAGTCCAGTAGGAAGCCGTCGGAAGAGTTCTTATGCCTTTTGGTCAAATGGCGATCAAGGCGGCCAGCCGATGAAAGGCTCCAGCAGGTGCTCAGCCGACACGAGTCAAGCTGTACACTTTGGCCATTAAGTAGGAAGACGGACATGAAAGAATTAGCCGATACGCGAGTCCATGCTACCACTTGAGGTTTCTAACGGGCGTTCTGAAAGATAAAATAGTATCCAGCAAGATCTAAAGTAGATGGAGAGAGGGGGTGGCAAACTGGAGGAGGTCCCAGCTGGGAACTATTATAAAAATTTTAACGGTCGATTAGCATTGATGGGATATGATAACAGAGAAGAAAGAGCAGGGTCGGAGCGAATGTGTGGAAAACTAGCACGTCATCAGCCGAATTAGGCACAAACAGAGGAACCAATGGCACCGTTGGAGGAACTAGGCCCCTCACTGTCCCGGGAGTGTATGAACGACTAAGCGCGGATTATAAGATCGCCCAGCATCATGTTCGCAGAAGACGTGAAGGTTCTTGGACGCCCAGAACCTAACCAGGTTTAGATGGATCTAGAGGCCCCCTACCAGCGGTCAGCAACATGGAACTTGCCTCTAGACCTGGGAAAAAGCTCACCCCTGGTCGCCGAGGGAACCAGCCGAATGCGGTATTTGAACCCGGGCAATCCGGAACGACTGGCGCAGGAAGGTGTGGTCAGGGACTTGAGCAAGATTATTTCCGGTGACTTTGGGCCCTTGGCACAGCGCCGGCAGGCTGCTAACAAGGCAAACAGCCAAGTACCAGGTGCGCAGAATGCTCACATCAAGAGACCCTAGGGTGCTGCTGACATTTTATACGAGCCTTCCCCGACCCCACTAGGAGTATGTAGTCCGCAGTTAGTGAGGGACACCCTCTTGCTGGATGAGGTTCAGATAAAGTGTATGAGAACGGTATTTGGGCTACGAGAGCAGCAGCACAAGGAAAGGCTGGCAGAGCCTGGATTATTCTCGCTGAAGAGCAGGAGAGCCGGGGGGGGGGGGTAACTGATGGAACCAATGAAACAACTAAATGGTTTGTCAGCCACCAGCAAGCTGCTGCTTGCCCGCAACAGAAACTGCGCTGCACGTTGACACCATACGAAACCAAACAAGCGGAGGGTCAACAAAACCATCAGGGCCCAGTCGTATGCTTGCAGGGCCATTAACACTAGGACTAAACCTCCCGAGGCGGTGGTGGGAGCGAACACAGTGACAGTGTTTAAGAGGAAGCTGGACGCTGTGTGGATACATGCCCTTCCGCACTACCCGTGAGCCAGCAATTTGCACCTAGCCGTAGTATTCTAGTTCACGTCAATATTCCCCTTTTTCCTCCTTTTCTTATCCTATTTCCCCCTTCTTCAGCCCCCTGTACGAGAACCCCCCTAAAGACTTATTGATCCCCCCAGGACTTTGTGTTCTATACTTTTTCACGAGAGCTGACAGCTGGAGGTCTTGACTGTTGCGGGAAGGGCTGGTTTCCGAGGCCTACCATATTTGATGTGTCGCTCTTTGATACCCCCTCTGAAGGCTTTCCAGGAATTTGGCGTGCTCCCAGCTCCTGAAAGGAAGGGGACTATAGAAAGTTGAATCACGGTGAGATCCGGGGGCTCGCTGGTGCAAGAAACTGGACTATAATTGACATTAGCCGCCAGTCCTGTGCCCCGATCTGATCTGATGAGCCCGACGGGTTGCCAAGGTCACGCGGGTTTATTTTCTGTCCGCCTATTGTCGTCCTGTTTTTTTGGGTAGCGTCCAATCGGTCCAGAAGTAAATTTTGAGCAACCGCCGTTGCTAAGGCGGCTGACGTGAGCGGCCGATTTGAATAGTCAATCCGATGATATGGTAGAGGGATAAGTTCCGACCTGGATATTTTTGAATTGGCGCGTAATCCTGGAATTCTGGGGCGCCAATTTTGAAACACAAGAAATGATCTGCCAAGCTTATCTTGAAATACGAGTTACCTGCTGGGTTTTAAGTGACTTTCTTGGTATATTTATAAAGAGAAAAAAATGGGCGATTTTTCCTTGGTAGAAACATCTCGATCAACGAAATGGTCATCATTGTTGTATAGCTTACTCTAAAATTGAAGTGGGATGTCGATTCGTATCTGGCAATGGCAAAAAAGGGTGAAATATTTTGAAAACGTTGGACTGTTTCTTAATTATTATTTGAGAAAGTGGTCCTCACTTGTCATTGTCCCAAAATCCCTGTTTTGTGTGAAAAACGTGCCACTGGTGGGGGTGCGCTTTCCGAAGGACTACTGGCCAATGTGATCTGACCCAGTGAAGTTTGGCTAAAAGAATAACTGCCAGAATACCTAAACTGTGTTTTTCCACCTGCGTGTGCACCATTGGCGTAATGAGTTACGTAAGTGATGGGTGTTTCGCGTCCACCGTAACCGAAGGATATTATATATATATATGCATAATTATACGCATATATATATATATATATATACGACCGTAGTTGTATATATATATATATATATATATATATATATATATATATATATATATAGTTATACAGTTATGTACCACTGTACGGGCTCTCTTCAATGTATCTAGCAGCAAAGTTTCACTGAACTAACTAACTGATCCTCTTGTCTGAACATAGTAAATAACTGCGCTCCTGATACCAATGCTTTCAGTACTGTAACTTACGTGATATGGTTAACGGATTGAATCGAATACTAATTTCTTTCCATCTTCTGAAGCTGTTAAACGTCAGTCGATCTTCACGAAATGTTAAACAAAACACGGAGTTTTCTATATACCACGCCCAAACTCGCAAATGATCGCCCCCTACATGAAGCTAGTATTCCCAGGCTTGCGCACGTGAAACGAGACTCACATGCAAGAGAAATGAAAAGGCAACAAAAAAAAACGGCTTCAGAGAAGCAACACGGTAATCAAAATGTGGTGGCCCCATAAGGACCATGTTAACAGTCACGTAGTCCTCCACGTTCGTCATCGAGCCAGACAGTGTACGCATTCCTCCCGAGCCGGTGAAGCCATTCCCCTTGCTCGCCAATCGTATACGTAGAAACTGGTTGGTTGGAATTCTAGAAAATCGAAAGCAAATCAGGGAACTGGGCCGGATCTCCCATTGCACACCGAACAGCCGGTAACCACGTCGCAGGGAACGGCAAGTGGGGACTGGACTTCGTGCAGCAGGTTATATATGACCACTAACCCAATCAACAACCAGCAACGGCTAAGCCAATGACTGGAGAGCTAATTACCGAGATTTGACTGAGAAAAACAAGATTCACCAAAAATAAAGAATATATGTTTGTAAAAGCCACTCCCATTACGCACACTTTCAAGACATTTTTGTTCCATTTTAATTCAGAAGCTTTTCTGTCAGCTGTCTGATGTCTGCATTACATTAGGCCAGGTCGGAACTTACCCCACTCTCCCGATGATATGAAACAAACCCACATGGTGTTACCGTTCATTGAAAAAGGAAATAAATGATAGTTTATTTTTACTTCGGTACTGGTAATAGGCGACCAGTGTCTAATGCACTGACAAGCCCTGAAACACCAAGGTATAGACAGCTTTAATTTATGCCCTTAGAGTGAGTAAAATATTCTACCCACTGTTCTTATATAGAGATATTCATAGAGAAAAATACATAACGTCAATAACTCCAATTTCGCCCAGTCGCTCAAAATACCGGTATAGTATTGGCGATCTTTTCGACCTTAACCGCTAAATTACCCCCTAGTGAGTCCCATCAATAATTATTGATGGGCCTAGCTTAAGCTGCGCAATGGAATCAAACCCTTTGTCTACAAGTCGCACGCTGGACTTATTAGACATCCTCGACCTATACCCTCGACGGCCTCTTCCGCACACGACACCGCCGACCACCGGCAAACCGCACAGTACGCTGCAACGGACTGACGGAACTGCTGCTCACAAACGCATATATATATGGCCGATGAGCCAATCAAAACTCAGAAAAACGAATTAATTAGCAAGACTAAACAAAAACAGAGGGAAGAAGTAAAACCGGTCAGCATTTTACAATGAGAGAAAGTTATCAATTCCTATGAAAATGGCATTATACCGTGACTTTCTTCATTTCCCCATTCATGTCACAACAGCTGAGTGATGCCTTACACCAGCACCTCTGGAGTGATTGGACGGTACCGTTTTTTGGTATGTTGGTATGTCGGAGAATAGTGTTAGTCCTCCTATTTCTTGAGCATGTACTATTAGATTTTCTTCGGACGTTCAGAATTTTTTCATCCTTATTTTTTGGATCATTTTTAAATCTTGGAATCCGGCATTTATCTTTCGTAATTGGCTGGAGTCTGCCGAATTTCGGTGCAGCACGTTTGGTAGAGCATTATAACTCGTCCGCTTATATATCTGTCGTTTGTGGCACGCACCTCAGGGTGTTCTTTCACGGTGTTCATAAATCAAAGTCTTTTGGTGCGCACTGAGGTCCGCTTTCGATCCTCACACACCACACGAAATTCGCCACCGAATCTTCATCTCGCAGTTTACTGTAGACATACGACACATATTCGGGGCATAACCCCATCCTCGGCGCTTCATCACGCCTACATCATTCAAGCCTTTCACCAGCGCCGGACATGGACTTAGACGCAATGGTACATGCCCATAGGAAGAGTGATATCAAGGGGCTCTCACTGTTCAGTTTAGTTCAGTTCAGTTTGCACTGGATGATTCACTACGCTTAACGCCGCAACTACCACTGATGACGCCCGCGGTTACACCTAACTAAACCCTATCTATAAATATTTGTTCTGATTTCCTATGAACCACAGCAGTACCGAGCACCATTTGTGTGTCTGTTATCCTGGTCGAACATCTTGTTCACCGGGCGCAATTTCTTCCTGTTTTGTCTTATCCTGCCAGAAGAGTTTTCACAGTCTTATTAACTACATCCGTTTCCTCTCTGACGCCTGGTACGTCCAAGGAAATAAACACTCATTGGACAGCAGGACAATTTGTTAGTGTGGCGCTGGAGACGGCAGCTGGACGTATTTTTGGATGGATTTCGGTGCAGACGTCAAACCCTCACCATCAGTCGTCCGGCGTCAGGCCAAAAATGCAAGGAACGGCATGCGCAGAGTTCCTGGGATATGAACACACCCGGTCCATGTCCAAAATCGAGGCCGAACTACGTCGGAATTCTAGAAGGAGGCCCCTGTAGCGACATTAAACTTTGATTATTTGTTTAGCGCATTGGTTATATGAACGCTTACTGCCAAGCCCGATGGTCATTTAACCGGTGCACGTGCACGCTCTCGCAGTGCAGCCTAATCACTTCCTCTTTACTTACCGTGTTCTCCATCTCGTGTGTCGAGGGGAGGCAACGGTCTGGTTATCGTGTCAGCCTTATGAGAAGTGTCAAGGTGACGGACGGGTGGTCCGTGCATATTAGAAAAGACTGACGAACGCGCGCAATAAGGAAACAGCATGGCAGGGTTTAACCGACCTCATAAGCGTCCGTTCCTGCTATATGGGTTCTGTCGTAGTGATGTGCGGACGACTCCATCTACCATCCTTGAATCGTATCATGTTTGATCCTCCTGTTTAGTTTACTTTCAAACATATGGTCGACGGATCGCTGATCAATGGTTAGGTTGAAATGAGTACCAAGAAGAAAATGCCACCGCTTTCCCTTTCGTCCTTCTTCGGCTGGTTTCCGAGTTTCACCTGCCACTGCCCTCCATAAACGTTTTCTTTGATTGATGCTCCGCATGAGTCACACACACACCTGCACATACAGACATGCGTCACTCATAGGCGGACGCAAATCAGGTTCTGCTTGTGTGATGCTTCCTTACGTAAACACATCCAACTCTCCTTATTGGTTGTTTTCTATGGACAGTTTGCCAACCTCGTTGTACTAACGTGAGACCCTGCTGCGTGCAACTATTCTTCTTGTTGTCTCCCGCTTAGACACATCAGATTGCTGTATTGTTGAACTCAGACAAGCCGCGGCTGTCTTTTGATCCTCTGGTATGTCGTGAACTCTTGTTTTATTTGTTTTTGTTTCTAAAAGACGCACTATATTTAAGTGTCCTTGGATAACGTTGACAACTGTACTCAAAATTGGAGGTTTGTACATTTGTCGAAGTAACCGTTTGCTTTAATATTTGCACCGTATCACGAGCCAGTCTCAGTTATCTTTGGCTTGAAATTGGTACTGTATGCGTCATTCCATTGTTTGGCCAAGGCGCAAGCGTTAGAAAATCTAATCCCCTGTACGGAGTTGATATTCGTACTCGCCAGAAACGACCTGTGTTCGGATGAGACGATTGCCGTTATCAGTGCGATCGGCCGGGGTTGTAAACGAGCCTCCAACGCGCCTTTCGGAATCCCCCAAACATTCAGCTTGAGCTTCGAAATCTCCAGCAGTCACCACTATGTCCATTGAGCGGATGCTTCGAAGCAGCTGGGGCAAATCCCAAGGGAATTCATCTTTGGACTCAGGAACTGCGGTCAGTGGGCGCATTCACAGACGCGACATGCATGCATCGACTTCTCAGTCTGTTACTGTTGACACGTACTGAATCGTACACAAGCGACTTCTTACTGGAATCCAGTTTTAGAGCGCACGCTCAGCTCTCGTGCTCAGAGTGAACCCCACACCAGCTTGACCACGAGAACTAAATACCAGGTCATCCGATATTAGGATGGTAAAACGAAAAAAAAACTTTTTGACAAGCCATTAATCAACTGGAGAGTGCCAGGCCGGATTGAGCAATCAATAATCAAAAGATTACCGGACCACTCATGAAGTAGCCCTTGTTGCTGATCGAGCATTCATCTACAGTCCGACTCAAATTGGGTCAACGGATGACTAATGAATCCGGGAAAATATTTTTATCAGCCTAATCGGCCCCACAGGGCTTGAACCTAACGGGACGCCCGAGTTCGGGAATATTCGATTTTCGATTTATATATGGCATATCAATTTCTGTGAAGGACGCATTTTTGGCGAGTCGGGTTTTCGCCTTCTGATTTCTCATAACGGGCTGGGGCGATCGGAGTCGCAAGGTCAGATTGAGTGCGCAGGTTTCCCGAGAGTCGTAGCGTATTATCCGACACGCAAAGAGTGAAACGTGAAGCTTATTCTATATCTGGGGCTGCTAAGAGTAATCACAGAAATGGGGTCTTGCGTGCGTTTCGGAGATAGCATGCATCTTTTTTAAAAATTTCAAGAGTTCTATTGAGAGCAGTCTGTTGCCCTATCTGACACAATGTGCGGATGTTGAGTGTAGCCAAGAGAAGTGAACATTGAAACTTAAGAAATGTTTGGTTTATGTCCTACTCCTAAATTGCCTTTTTTTCAAGGCCGTTATAGGCCGTGGCGTGTTGCATCAACCTTGAATTTAAGAGCGAAATTAGTCAGTGTTGTGCCAGCGCACAAAGCTCTTTATTATCCCCGGCCAGTGATTCCTCGATCGTCCAAACCCAGCGGAAAAGTAACCACGAACACAGTGCGGAAACTATTCAATTGTAACCAAAAATGAACACTTTATAAAGCATGAGGCAAGAAATGCATGGGCACAATGTTATTGATTGCCTCGCGTGGTGTGCAGATGTGATTGGTTAATTAGGACCACGGTACGTCAGAAGTCTGATCGGCTGGCGGGTTGGTGTGAAGGTTAGGCGGTAGATTGTCTGTCACTGGTCGATATGAATAGCGGCGTGTGATAGACTGATTGGTTCATGGGGACACGCATCACGATTGCCTGCTTTGTGGGGTATGCGGGCCTTGTCATTGGTTAGCATTCACGAAGCTCCCTGTCCGTGAGTTGGAAGAATGCGGATTGCAGCCTCGCTGATGACCTGTTTTCAGGGAGATTTCCGACTCCATGACAATAAGGCGTTTTACAGGAAGAATGCTGGAATCTTCTGGGTGAATCATACTTCTCGGTTGACTACACCGCAGAAAGGGGTTTTCTTTGGGAACCATAACTGGAGCCTTTGCCTCAAAGTCTGATCCGCAAGGCAGTGGGGCGTTAACTCAGCACGGGAACGTGACCGAAGCACCCGCGAAGGAACTTCTTCTGTTTTGTCACGTGAGACGTAATTGTTGCAAGCATTTTGTCTTACCTTCGCTGGTGCTTTGTTATTAATCCGCCGTTCAGACTCAGTCCTTAGCTCGATGCACCCAGTGGAACAAGCGGTAGGTGGATGGTGAAGCACACTTTGAGCCGGAGTCCGCCCAGCTTAATCGGTCGGTAGCTGCCCAATAAGTTGCGATGACTTCTCTCACCGTCGAGAGAAACCCAAGGTACTCCACCCCTACGTCCATTCAGCGGAGCTTTTTAGACCGGTAAACTGCTTCTTTTCGTGTTCATTTGCTGAAGTGTTCTCTCCAGGGGCGTAGTGGTGTCGCGTAATTTTCCTTGTTTGTTTACCTCGTTTTGTTTACGTAGCTTACATCGTACCGATTTCTATTTCAGACCATGTACCTTCATTAATAGTCAAGTAGAGCTTAACGTTCATGTCACCGAATCTCGTTCTCTCTGATAAAACCATTACCATCTGTTGCGAACCGTACGTATCAATCTACTTGACTTATAAAATTATGGACCGTTATCTGCGACCGGACAAGTTCGACACCGATATCAGTGCTCCGGATGGTTCTAAACGGTGGACTTACTGACTCCGCACTTTCAATGCTTTTTGAAACGAGTGCAATTCGATGAATCTGATAACCTTGATATGCTCATTAGCTTCCTTTTAAAGTCAGTTTACGAGCATATCTCGGAGTGCGAAACCTTTGACAGCGCCATTTCAATCCTCCAGTCCCTGTATGTGCATCCAAAAAGTGTCCTCTTCGCCCGGTATCTACTCCCTACATGTAAACAAGATTGCGGGCAAAACATCGGTTAGTACTTCCAGGTTATCAAGTCATTGGCTAAGGATTGCAACTTCCGCTCGGTGTCCGCCGAAGAGTATCGTGATGACGCTATGTGCGACGCATTTATCACTGGATTGCAGTCTAACAAAATTCGAACAAGATTGTTGACACAACCAACACTGACGTTTAGGGCTGCTTAAGACATGGCTAGATCACTGGAGGCAGCTCAAAAACAGTCACAACCTTACAGGATTGAAAACTTCCCTTGTGCGTCCACGACCCCTGTAACCCACTCCCGATGTACAAC